AGAGTGATTCGCGATGCACCGTGTCAAACGCCTTCTTGAGGTCGATGTAGGCTGCAAGCAGCCCACGTCCGAACTCACGACGGCGCTCTACAATGACTCGAAGCGCCAGGATGCGGTCTATTGTGGACTTACCAGGAGTGAATCCAGATTGCTCCGGTCTTTGGTGCCTCAGGAGGTGGTCTCTGATACGTCTCAGTAAGATATGGGCGAGTACCTTGCCTGGCACACTGAGCAGTGTAATGCCTCGGTGATTGCTGCAGTCCCACCGATCCCCTTTCCCCTTCCAGAGAGGGATGACCATACCCCTCAGTAGGTCAGGGGGAATGGTACCGGTTTGCCAGATGGCAGACAGGACTGCATGCAAGCCCCCAAAGAATAATAATAATAAATTAATAATAATAATAATAATAAATAGATAAATATAATAATAATAAATAGATATATAATAATAATAATAATGAAATAACCCACAATATAACAAAACTCATTTAGGCACCTTAGCCTAAATCACATCAATATTGTTTCCAACTTCCGACTGATGCCATGTTTCTTTCTTCACAAACACAAATGCACCCGCCTCTTCTTTTACTGTGGCATCCTATTTTATTTCTGAGCTGGGTAGTCTTTCAGTCTAACTTCTGTCGTTTCTTTAACAATTCCATGCTCCTTTGACACATCATCGTTTTCTGGGTCAGTCTGTGGTAAGTGACCTGAGCCTGGTAAACGGGGTGGTACTTCCTCAGAATTGCCTACTAAGGGCTTACACCAGCTGTTCCATGTGTGGCACTCTTCAAACACTCTTCATTGTGCTTGAGCAACAGTGGCCACCTATGGGGTTGTTCTTTACATTGGGCCCTCAATATACCTGCTTGATTGTTTCGTGTACTCGTTCTATAACTCCATTTCCTTTTGGATTGTAGGGAGTAATGATCTTATGTTTTATCTCATACATGGCACACAAGTTCACCATTTCTTTGTTTTTAAATTCAAACCCCCCAATAGACAGCTTTATTTCTGCCAACTCATTTCAGAAAGTTTCAATCTTTTCTCATCCATTTGAGGCAGTTTTCCGTTTCAACCCATACGATTTAACAAAGCGAAAATCATTATCAATTATCGTCAACACAACTATTTCCTCCGTGTTCAGCAACCATGTCGGTCGTATCGACTGATATTCTTTCAAGTGGTTTTGCGACTGTTGGTAATTCTTGGAATTTAGTCTTAATACCCGTTTTTTTTCATTAAACTGTTTCAGCATTTAGGACATAAAGCGTATCAGTTCTTATACCCTGCCTGCCGGTACTTGCTCGCTGCCAGTGTGTGGACGTGATTGTACAGTAACTTCGAAAGGTTAGCATTCTTAATTTCCAGGATTTGAATGGACTCTATAATTAGCAATGTACAAGTTCTTTTATAAAAAAAAAGCCTAAGTTATCTTATAAAAAAGTTCATCCGTGTAGAGCAGTAAGAATGAATATGGCAGTATTAAGAATATATGTCAAGATAATTAAAAGAGAAGAAAATCATTAAGAGAAGAATCAGAAATGTCAAAATCATTACTTTATTATTGCGTGGAATTAGAATATAGTGGACTGTTATGTACCTATTTTGACATAATAAATAAGGGCGGTCAAAGTGAATAGATATCTGAAGAATAATAGACACTTCTTCGAATACTCTCGATGGACATGTTCAATATGTAATAGTAAAGGATTTACATGTATTGCCAAGTAACGAATCGCAGGAAAATAAGTGTGAACGGGAGAGCCTTTTCGGCGAGACATGAAAGCAAATACACTGTTCTTAATGAAGTTTTAATTAGCTGTAGTTCGGAATTTCCCGAAGGTATTTCCTCAGAAAAGAATAATCAACGAGAGAAGGTTTAGAAGATATCTTGAGCAGGACCTATACTTGCTTGTCTACGGAATCTGTGCCTGAATGCCTTTGACAAGACTTGAAAAAGTTCCTTGTAATGTACCAGTTTCAGAAGTGGTTGAGGAGCCTCTTGTAAACAAAGGGGCTTCTGAAGTTTGTGATCTTGACAACCATGGTAAAGCCAGTGTAGTACTGTGCAGATCTCATATATCTGTAACAAAAATGTAGTCCAGAGCTGTAATCTGTTAAGGACTCTTGTGGTATATCTGGTCAGAAGGGCGCGCTAAGCAACAGAGGTGGATTCAAAGGTAATTTTGTAACACGCCATTTAATCATAGC